TTTCTGCTCCTATGATGCTGCTTAGCTTGCTGTGTTCATCCAGCTCTGCACCTTGTTGTCTCGGATTCTCCAGCATCTGCAGTTCCTACTATCTCAGGGAAATTCCAGTTCTCCTGGGCTAACTGATGCTGTTTGTTATGAGGCTGATAGACTGCTGGCCTAAAGAACCATAATTGGCCAGTAGTAAGTTAATCAAACATCAGAAACAGTTTTGTTATGGCCATCATTCCAATCCTCCAGTCATTCTGAAGTCCAAATTCTGAAGATGCATGGCAGAACTGAAGTAAATATCACTGCATCATTGAAACCTGGCTAATCAAGCAAATATTAATGAGCCACTGCTTGAAATTAGGGAAAAGCTGGCCTGAAATTTTTCTGTAAATAATAGCCTCCTAACATTTCAAATTATCCATCACTCCTTCATCAAAGATACAGCAGAGGTTTCAAACAAGAACCCAAATTGGGGGAATGACATTGTTATCTACCTCAATGTCTTAGCTCTAGTTGGCCAGCTAATCTTTCCCTTTATCTTTCTCTCTTCACAGATGTCGTCATGCATGGTGAGAGTAGAAAACCCAACTATTTTTTCAAATTCATTCATGGCATGTGTGCATTGCTGGCCAGGCCCACACTTGCTGCCCATCTTCGATTGCCTTAGAGAGGGTGATAGTGAGCTGCCTTCTTGAAGCACTGCAGTCCATGTGATGTAGGTAGGATTTTGTGAAGGATCTGTTATAAAATTCCAAATTAGGATGATGTGCAACTTGGAGAGCAACTTAGATGGCAGCAATCAGACATTTGGCAGGTTCTGTTAATGGAGCCTTGGGAAGTTGCTACAGCACATCTTGGAGCTGGTACATAAGAGTTGTCACTGTCCACTGGTGATGAAGGAAGTATACATTTGAGGTAGTGGATAAGGTGTGACATCAAGTGGTCTGCTATGACCTGGATGTTGCTGAGCCTCTCAAGTGTTGTTGGAACTGCACTCATTCAGGAAAGTGGCGAATATTCCATCACACTCCTGACTTGCTCCTTTCAGATGGTAGACATGCTTTAGGGAGTCAGGAAGTGTCCACGAAATCACAGCCTCCGACCAGTTCCTGCAGCTACAATATCTATATGATTGCAATAACATCTCTAAACAGATTAGTTAGAAAACAGGTTTTTAACATGGCCAATGCAGTTATATTTCTAATCGTGGAAACTCCCAGAATGTTGATGGTAGAGGATTCAGCAATGGTAATGATGTTGAAAATCATGGGGAGATGGTTAGATTCTCCCTTGCTGAAGATGGTCACTGCCTGGCATTTGTTTAGATGAATGTTCTATTATCATTAGCAGATACATAGGGATATCACCACTGGCAAGTTCCCCTCCAAGCTGATTTGGAAATATTATTAACATTCCTTCAATGTTATTTGGTCTTAATCCTGGAACTCTTTCCCCAACAACATTGTGGGTCTCCCTACAGCAAATGGATGCAGTGGTTCAACAAGATAGCTCACCTGTACAAAGGCAAGTAGAGATAAGCAACAAATGCTAGCCCAGCCAGCAATGACCACATTAGGTATGCCTGGTCACTGCATTTGTGTGTGAACCACGGTTGGTCCTCAGGCTTGATGGCCTTGTTAGTTTATCAAGGTATAGATGACCACGTTCACTATGGAGGGTGCGCAATGGAGTATACTGAAGACTGCTTGGCCTAATGTGTGCTTGGAAGGCTGTGCTGCCAATAGGACAGGGTGCTGCAACCGATTGAGTTTTGGACAGGTTTCTAGCTGGGATTTCCTCCACTCTTGGCCTTTGAAATGCATCTGCTTTCAGAGGAGGCCATACTGACTTTTAATGAAGCAAAAAAAGAAACAAAGAACTGTGGATATTGGAAATCTGAAACAAAAACAGAAACAGTTGGAGAAACTCAGCAGATCTGGCAGCATCTGTGGCGAGAACTGAACAAAGGTCACTGGACCCGAAACGTTAATTCTGCTGTTTTTCTCCACAGATATCATCGGACCAGCTGAGTTTCACCAGCTATTTCTGTTTTATGTTTCTGAACTTTATTTAGTTGTGCCAGTTGCCATGATCTTGGGCAAGGTTTTCCCAGGGCTTGAAGCTGATATCGAAACTCCTAAGCAATGTCTTCAACATGTCCTTGAGACACTTCCTTTGACTGTCATGACAGGGCATCGCAGGCTCAAGTGCTCCATAGATGATTCCCTTTGGTAAGTGAGTGTCATATATTCTGGCTAGATGACCAGCCCAACTGTGGGTATCTCACATGGTAATGATGCTTGGCATGCCAGCTTGGGTAAGCACCTCAGTATCTAGTGTTTTGCCCTGGCATCTGATTTTTAGAAGTTTTGAAAGCAGCTCAAGTGAAAGCATCAAGTTGGTACACAGCCCACTTCTCAAATGCCTAGTGCAGAGTAGTCAGTATTAATGTGCTGTAGGCTTCCAGTTTAGTAGGCCAACATATTCCTCTTCATTGCCAGTGTGATGTTTGAAGTCTGCCAAAGGCTATCCTTGTTTTAGTAACTCTTGCAATATGGTTGTCCATACTGACAGCTCGCTAAAGTGTACTGCTGATATAAGTGTATATATCAACAGATATATTCTATGCTAACAGATATATACTAACAGATCGGGTCATTGGCTAAAACCCTGAGCTCGAGATAGAGGTTCTTTGGAGCAGGCTACTACATCTCTTCAGTTTTCTTTGTACTTACTGTAAGGCCAAACTTGTCACACGCTTTGGAGAATAAATCCATGTGATTGTGATATTGGAGAATAAGTCCATGTGACATTGGAGAATAGGTCCATGTGACATTGCATGCCTAGTCTGAACTGGAATCAAGTGCACTGTCATTAACAACTAGGAAATCAGGCAGTACGCCCTTGGATGCTTTACTCGTAGATTGTGTAACTTCCCATACACGCAATATCTAATTACAATGCTGGGATCCCCATCATGGAGGTATTAGAGAGCATTACAGAGAGAAACAAGATGGAGAGGTTTGGCACTAGTACACAGCTCCATTTAATTCCATTTGTGACTGCAAATTTGTCCAAAGACTCAAGATCATCCAGGACATGCGCGATTGTCCTGTAAAAGAAATGTTGAATTATTGTGAAAAATTTCTCAGGGCAGCCAATGGCCAGATGACAATAGTAGAATGAGGGGTCTGCTGGGCTATGAGGCTATACTCACACGAATGCCCAGTCTTGATTCTATCTCACAGTGGCAGTGTCAAACAACCTGATGGAGCAGTCTTACTATCAAGATGGAACTTCGTCTGCCCTAAAACCTTTTTGCTTGGTGGTTATTTCTACCGATACTGTCATGGGTAGATGATGCATCATTGAGTCATAGAGTCATGGAGTCATACAGCTCAGAAACAGACCCTTCAGTCCAACCAGTCCATGCTGACTATAATCCCAAACTAAACTTGTCCCACCTGCCTGCTCCTGGCCCATATCCCTCCAAACCTTTCCTATTCAAGAGGTAAACTTATCCCTCTTGCTGGTTCTCTCATCACTGGCCAGAAAGGTATATCCATCAGGACCGATCCAGGTCAGTCATTAGTGGTTATACAAAGCAAGTTGTGATGATGGACATCACCCAGAGCAGATTCTGCATCCCTGCTTTTGCCAATGTTTCTTCTAAGTGTTGATCGATGATACCAATTCATCAGCTGAGGGAGGGCAGTGGGTGATATTGAAAAGGAAATTTCTTTGCCCAAGCTTGATTTGATGCTATAAAGTTTTATGCAGTTTGGAGTCAATGTTGAGTGCTGCTCCTACCTAACTGTATTCCTTTGGCCAGCCACCTCTCACAGGTCTATCCTGCTGGTGGGACAGATCATATACTGGACTGGTGATAGACAATCCTGGGACATTGACTGCAGAATATGACCCTATGAGTATAATGACTACGAAGTAGTATGGCTATTTCAAGTTGTTGCTGGAATAGTCTGTGGGACAGCTCTTCCAGTTTTAGTACAAATTGAGGGCTAACTAGATATGGTGAGTTGTTGTTGTTCACACTGCTTAGTTCACAACAGAAATTAGATGATCTGGCCTGTTTTATTCTTCTTAAACTTCTCTATAGTAGCTTGATGCAACTGAATAACTGGTGAAGCCACTTCATGCTGCAGGTAGGTCAACCATTTTGCTGTCAGCATGGAATCGATTTAGGCCAACCTTCCTAAAGATGCCAGTTTTTAACTGCCCTGAAACACAACAGTGGGGTAGCCAGAAACATAGTTCCATTGTGATTACATTCTATTTAGACCCAGCAGGCACGACACCTACAGTGTGCTAGAATAAAGCAAAATGCATTCTGATGTTCTGAATTTAGTTTTTGTAATAAAGGCAGGTGAACCCAATAACTCCTTTAACCAGTTCTCTAATATTCTAATCTGTTTGTTTGATGTTCTGTGCCAGTGCTGCTTTGTTTTCTAGCTTTTATTCTCCTTTCATAATATTTCACAGCATCAGAGAATGGTTACAGCACAGCAGGAGGCCTTCCCCTTGGAGCCATGCAAATAATTTTTCTTCTGATGCTTATCCAATTCCCCTTAGCAGGCCAGAATTTTGCAGGCCTCCACCATTTTCTCTGGCAGTGTTTTGTAGATCTTAGTAACTTGCTGCATAAGGTCATTTACCCCTATCATTATTGGCTCTTTTGTCCTCTAGTCCTTCACCCCTTTAACAATAGGAACAGTTTGTCACTCTCTATTGTCTGGATTTCTAACTAACGTCCTCTCTACTTTTGAGATAACAAGGTGTACAGCTGGATGAACACAGCAGGCCAAGCAGCATCAGAGGAGCAGGAAAGCTGACATTTCGGGCCTAGACCCTTCTTCAGCATTTCTGATGCTGCTTGGCCTGCTGTGTTCATCCAGCTCTACACCTTGTTATCTCAGATTCTCCAGCATCTGCAGTTCCTACTATCTCCTCTCTACTTTTCTTCTGTTAAGGAAAACAACACCAGCTTCCTCAGTTGATTCACACACTGGAAGTCCCTCATGCTAGAAAACATTCTTGTGTATCTTTTCTGCATCCTCTCGAAAACCTTCACTTCTTTCTGAGAATAGTGTTCAGAACTGGACACAATACTCCAGTTGATGCTGAATCAGTATTGCATAAAGTTTCATCATAACCTCCTTGCTTTTGAACGCTATACCTTTAATAATAAAGCACACATCTTGGTGGCCTTTTTAATCAGTTCCTCAGCCTGTCCTGCAAACTTCAAAGGTTTATGCGCATGAACACCCAGTTCCCTGCATCCCTTTAGAATTGTTCTCCTTATAGGCCCTCTCCTCATTCTTCCTCCCAAAATGTATTACTTCACGCTTCTCTTCATTAAATGTCATCTGCCCCATATTTGCTTTTTCCATCAGCCTGGTGGTATTCTTGAAGTGGATCACTGTCTTCCCCACAGTTGATGATAAATCAAATGTTAGTAAACATACTCTGTACTCCTGAACTAGATCACCTATTTCACAACTGGTAACTTATCAACTTCTATTATAGTCCAATTTAATATCTCCAGCCTATCCAGTATCGCAACTAACTCTCTTTCATTTTGGCAGCACTTCATCTCTGACAATAATAGGTGCAAAGTACTTATTTAGTGCTTCATCCACGCATCCACGCCTGCAAGTATAGATCCATCTTTTGGATTCACCCCTCTTTTTATTACCACTTTACTATTAATATACCCATGGAAGACTTTGGATTCCATTTTATGTTAACTGCAATTCCTTTTCAAGCTCCTTCACTTTACCTGTCTTACTTTCTTTGTCACATCCCACAAGACCATTAGATCTAGGAGCAGAATTAGGCCTTTCAGCCCATCAAGCATGTTCTGCCATTGAATCATGGCTGATATTTATCTCAACCCAATTCTCTTGCCTTTCCCTGTAACCCACGATCCCCTCACTAATCAAGAACCCCCTATGAACTTTCTCACTTGTATTATAAACCAGACATTTGTCATAGGTCCAGTTTTCTGCTTCATCTTGCAGTTTATCGTTTTTTTAATCTGGGGCCTTTAGTTGACATGCAATGCCTCTCACAATTCATGGATTAGGCAGCAAAAATTATACAAATGTAATGAATTACAATGAATATGTGTAAGACAAAGGTTAGTCTGTCTAAATTATTTCCAATCAAGCTTTGGTGTGAAGTCACCAGAATGCTGTATTTTCAATGCTAATTGAATGAATCTTCTTGATCTGCTCTTCATCAGTATTAAAAATTCAGCACTCTGTTCATTTTATAACAAAACTTGCTTAAAAGATCACTTAAATTGAGTACTGCAAAAAAAGGCACATTTTTCAAAGCTTTTGGGCTGGCACTCATCAAGACAATTCACAATAACACTACGAGGAAAACTAACATTCATTACTGTATGAGAGAAGACCATTGTTTGGTTGATAAATGGATTCTGATTGGTAGTAGCGCTCCTATGGAGAATGGATAAGTTAGTGATGATTGATAGCTAACTGCCAGGTTAACTGGCACTTTTGCGCAACATTTCCACTTACAGGGTGAAGGATGCCTTCAGATTTAAAAGACCATATAGGGCTTGCATTTCGATAGCAGTGCTGCGTCCATGTATCAACCTTATTTAACCAAAAATGGAGCATTGAGAAATCCTTTCAAAGAAAGATTAGGTTATTACAAGGTAATAAAGGTATCAATCAAGACTCCCCTGAATTGCCTACAGTGTTGAGTTCAGTAGCCATTTCTGGATTCATTATGAATGCTTCGCTAATCTCAGTCCAGAAAAAGAAACGATGGTTATCTGTTCAGCCTGATTTGTTGATGTAGTTGCTAAGTGACCTTTTTAAATCATTTCATTGAACTCCAGAACAGATAACGCTTTGTTTAACAAAGGAGATTTTCAAAGTCTCTTGCTTACTGAGTCAGTTACAGAAGCATTTCAAAGATTTACCAGACTTGTTAAGGGGTCATGAAATCTGTACGCAATAGATACTGAAAGGGTGCTCGTGGATGACACATGAGTAATGTGGAGGAAAAGGGGGTGTATTGGGAGATTTAAGGGAACATGTGGGTGCTGCTGGGGAGGGGCAGGGTGATGGATGAGTGATAGAGGGCGAATCATTCGTGATTGCAACCGGGCTGCTGCCTCAGTAAGCGTTGGATGTAATTCCAGGCTGACAGCTTCACCATCCACCCACTTCCATTGGCAGCCAAGGCCTGCACTATCAACTCAGTCAGGCCCCTACCTCCCAGAACAAAGAAATTGTGGACAGCGCCTCCTTAATAGAAATGAGTTTGAAGAGTCAGGAACTTTCCCGACTCCCATTTCTTGTCCCCTTCACAAAAACCCAGCCACTTAATTCTATCTCTGGATTTAAAGTCTTGTAGATCTACAAGGTTTCTTTTCTATAACCGTGTATTTAATTAGAAGAAAATTAACAATTACATTCATCTGGAAAAAGGAATTAGCCTTATTATCTCTTGAGCTCCTCTATTTGTGCTCCTCAATACATTCAGCTTATTAGAATTATACAAGGAGGAATTTGGCACAGCTTATGTAATTTCTTCCTTGAATGAAACAGCTAAATTATGTGCAATTCAAAAGAAGTCATGATTCAAATATTCATTAAAAAAAAATGTCTGCTCTGTGCTGCTAGCCATGTGGCATTTCATTAAACATCAAAAATAAAATATCTAGAAAGTGCACTGCATGGTTGTAGCAAAAAGCATATTGATACATCTGAGTGAACTCACTTTGCCGTTTAAAAGAAGTGCTAAACTGTTTGTTTCAAGTGGATTTGAAGAAATTTCACACAAGCTTTTTGATGAATTTGTCTCTAATATTACATAGTGTTCGCATTTAGAGTGTTTTGTATGTGTGTGTTAAAACAGCTTTGATATTTAAGATTAATTATAGATACCGTGGGCTGCATTTTCCCCAGTTTTAGGCAATGCATTTTCCAGTGAGATTCATAGCACCCAATCTACCACGGCCCACCACAACATTTATGATGCAAACTTCTGTGCTGCATCACATTAATTATAAACCATCTCTACTGTGCCCATATCGTGGGACTATGTGGCAGGAGAGGC